TTATTTCTCAAGATCAGTAATTCCCAAGAGAAAGAAAAATATCCCCTCAGTGAGGGTTGTCTGTATAACTACTGTGTGATCTTTCTGTGATTTGCTATGGCTTTCCAGGACACCACTGTGAGTTAAGGCAGAAGATCCCAGATGCTGATTCCCCCATCAATGCTCCCAAAACTAGACCACTCTGCCACAGATAATCCACTGACAAGAAATTATAATGTAAAGTGATCTCTCAGTAAACACATTAATGCCTCTTTCATCTGCCATCAATAAGTCTCCTTATAATGAGTTTTCCAAATAACCAATGGTTACTCATTAACAGTATTTTAACCCATTAAGGGGATTAATTAACCCTATTAAAAAACAAAAGGGGAAAAAAGTCAATGTCTTGATTCCATGCCCTCCTAAGATGTATTATTCATGCTGTAACCTTCTTAAACAAAAAGTGATTGAATTATTTTAACTCTTTCTTCCCACTCAATATGATCACTGTGACCATTAATTATTGACCTGGGATGTAAAATTAAGAGTGTGCCTCCATGCTTTGCTGTCTGTCATCAGGCTGTCTGTTCACACAGTATAAGTACCAACTCATATGACCTATCTCCTTACAATTTAATCAGAGCTGTTGGAGCTGAGAAATTGTAGGCAATATTAAAACCCATTATAGTTTACCATTTTATGATCTTTAATTCAAATCCCCTCATTTTGCAGATCTGAAATATAAGACTCAGAGTTAAGACTTGCCCAGGATCACACAATGGATTACAGTAAAATTGCATCTCACTTCTAATTTGCAGCTCGTGAGGAAAAATATTGTTTAGCCAGAATTGCCATTAGAAATTCCTTAAATTAATCTTTAAGCATAGTATATGTGTTTTCTGTACTGTAATTTTTATACTTGTTGGAATTTGGGTACTAAAGAGGTAGCCTGAGGAAATAAAAAAAGGAAAGTCTGCAGGCAGGTTGGTGCCTATTCAAACCATTTGCCTTTAAGATAACCATCAAATCCAGTGAATGAGAAAAGAGGGAGATTTTTACTGTGTTCTTATTGCTCAGTGGAATTTTTCCATTTGTTTTCAGTACTACGCTTCTAAACCTTACTATATTTCAATTGATTGTTTCCTCCACTGAAGATAGAGGATTAGGTTCTAAAACTCAGATGTGAGTTAATACAGCTCCACAAGGGGTGCAGAGTTTACAGGTACCCAGGCTCCTGGTTCCCCCTTTAGCACTTTCCCTGCTATAACCCCTATAACCTACTTAGTAGAAATCAAGATCTGAATGTGACTTGAAAAACAGAGAAAAGGTTTCTTAATAACATTTTCAGTGGTGATATCCAGCTTCCTTACTTCCTGTTTCTCCTTTGTTCCCTCAGTGATTAAGCTTGCTGGGTAACAGAGGTATTAGTAAATGAGAAGGCTTTTGAGTTACATTCAGTCATTTTGATTAGCATCTTTGGTAACTTCCTTTTTCTTATAAACATATGGTAAAGCAACATGTAATGTTCCAGTGATTGTGATTTCAAATCTAAAAGTCTGTTTGTTCATCACTGAAACCTGAAACAAACATCTGGTGGTTAATGCTTTCAGGAAAAAAATACATCAGTGCATTACCTCTGTCTATGATTCAAGATCTTGGGCAAAAATAAGTAGATGAGATTAAGCCACAGAAGTTTGTTGGTCCATTCAATTTAATTAAAAAAAAAAAGAACTGGACTTCATTGTTTCCTCTAAAGTAGGAAAGGCAATAGAGACAATACAATAATCTTAAGGGCCTCGTCCCTTCTGTCTCATTTTGCACTTAGATATAAACTGTTATCTAGTATATATCCTCCATTTGAAAAAACAAAGATTTGAGTGCTTTCTTATCTCCATCCCGTGTATGCTCAGAATTACTGTTTGTGCATACCGTCAGGTTCTTGGTACCACGCATTTTTGTTAATTAGAATTGTGTCTCCTACATTAAAACTTCTGTGCCAATGTTTCATATTTTAAGATTCATTCTAGCTCACTTTCCATTACAATATGACACTTGAAATAAAATTTGAAATAAAGATGTACTGTCAGTTTTGCAATGTTGCTCATCTTAGGGGGAAAATTTTTTTTAGGGGATAGTGTATTAGTCCACTAGGGCTGTCCCAACAAAATACCACAGACTGGGTGGCTCAAATTTTTCACAGTTATTGGAGGCTGGACATCCAAATTTAAGGTGCAGGCAGTTTTGGTTTCTCCTGAGGCGTCTCTCCTTGGTTTGCATGTGGTCACTTCTTGCTGTGTCCTCACATGGCCTTTTCCCTGTGCCTGCCGGCCTCTGGTGTCTCTTCATCTTCTTATAAGGACACCAGTCATGTTGCATTAGGGCCCACACTCCTGACCTCATTTAACTTTATCTCTTTGAAGGCCCTCCCTCCAGATTACAGTCATATTAAGGGTTAGAATTTCACCATATGAATTCTAAGGGACTACAATTCAGTCCACAACAGGTAGCAATGGTGCTATTAATCAAACATTCTGCAATATCTTCCCCTTGAGGAAAAAAAAAATAAAATCTTAGGAAGAAAAGTGGTAAAGTTATCATTTACATGTGATATCAAGTTACAGGAAATATACATTTATATGGCTCATTTATATGAGATGTCCTTTATAAGTGAATGTACATAAAATAGCCCTTAACTCCAGTTTTTAGCCTGTCTCAATAAAACTCAGCAAAATCTAGCAAGGGGACAGCTCAGCAGACTAGCAAGTCACACTTCCACATCCTGTTTACCAGAAGAGGCCAAGAAAGATCCAGAATCAGAAATGCTGGATGAGACTGCTGCTCTTGCATCTGTTCTGAGGCCAAATCTACAGATTTGGTATTTATTCTCTGGAAGGATGGCTTCCGTAATTTAAAGAAGCCTGAGCCGGACTTAAGTGGCTTCGAAAAGCAGAGCAACAAGACAGAGGAGCCTCAGCCACAAACGCAGTAAAACAAAGGCTGCTGTCGTGCTGGTGCACGAACATACATCACAGCATCCTTGTCCCCTCGTGCACTACAGACCACCTAGTTTTTTCAGAAAAATTGTATTCTGTAGGATCAATGTTCCCATTTCTGAATTTTTTTTAATGCTCTGGATTAAGGATTACCAGATGCAGTAAATAAAAATATAGGATGCCCAGTTAAATTTGAATTGCAGATAAATAATGAATATTTTTTAGTATAAACATGTCTCATGCAATATTTGGGACATACTTATACAAAAAAAATAATTCATGGGACATACTAATACTAAGAAAAAAAAGTATGTGTTACTCATTTGAAATTCAAATTTAACCATGGGTCCTATATTTTATCTGGAACTCCGCTTGGGTTCAAGAATGAATCCTCCCCTTGCAGCTTCCTTCCCCCAAATCACTACCCTCTTAAACTTCGGTCACCAACTTTGTAAAATCAATTTCCAGGTCTTAATTTGCCCCAAAAGGTGAAAACCCCAGGTTTTAGGCTCCCTTCCGTTCCACTGCTATGATCTATGGTTATAGATACTCAAAGTTAAAACAACGCTAAAGTTAGTTTGGCCCCGCTTTTCCCCCCATGCTGAAATATTTGCGTCTTTGTATCAATGTCCCGTAATACTCCTACGGTGACATAAGTTGACACTCTGTGCTTTTGATAATGTGGAGAAGTTACCTCTAAATCTCTGAACCCTGGGCCCAGTATGCTCTCCTGTAAAATGACAAGACCGAATTCAGGGTTCCTTCTAACAATTCCTTGCTACAAGTCTTTAAAATGAGGGTTCTGTTAATGTTCTCATTTGCCTTGTGAAATCTAGTTATTCCTATTTCGGAAGAAACTCTTTTCCCTTCAACTTCGGTTACTCGATTTTAACAGCTTCCTGTTTAAGGATGTCAGCCCTCAATTCCTCAAGGGCCGGAGAATGCAATCTTTATTTCCCCCCACCCCACTCACCCCAACACCAGACTCTGAGCACAGCAGGTGATCGGATGCCGTGATCATGAGAGTGCTGACAATGAGGAAACAGTTCCGTGGTGGTGGGTTTTCTGCCTGTCGAAAATCAGCTGGAAACAGAAGCCGTCTCCGCGGGGTCGAGTCCGCCGTCTGGGAGCCGCTCCTTGTTCTCTTCCGCCATCTAGTGGCGTCCCGGTCGCTCCCGACCGCCCAACCTGCTGTCCAGAGCAGCAGATTTCAAAGACTGTCAATCAAATGGATGAATTGTTTTATTCTTGTCATTACAGGAAAAAGGGACTTATAAGGTGTTTCTAGAGATAAAATGTGATGTGTTGATAAAAATAAGTATAACAGCATCGCAGGCTTTAATACCTGAACAGTATAGATTAAATTCATGCAATTTAGTCTCTTTAATGTGTTCAGATGTTAACTTGAACACTGAAGAATGAAAAGTATAAACTAGACTAAAGAGTTCTAAGGAAAGATCAGCCTTCTCAGGGGCTCTTGTATAATGTTCAAGAATTTTTTTTTATTTCAAATAAACATAATCAAAACAGATGAAAAAGAATGAAAGGGAAATAGATTTCTGATAAAAATTGAATTTGTAGAGGATGTCTCAATTCTGTATTTAACCATTTAACTTCAGTTAGGTTAGAACTTATCATTATTATTTATACATGCAGTACAGTGTTTAATGAATGTTGGATGATATTTAGTTTTAATGTCCTATAATCTGGAACTTTATTCAAATGGCATGATAGTGAGTTTAATTGTGTGATTCTAAAGTGAAAATAAATTTCTCTAATGAATGAAATAAAATATTTCTGAAGTGTGACTTATGTCCCATTAAAACTGTGTTCACCAAGTAGCTATTACAGGAAAAATATTCCTGACATTTTTACATTACTCTGGTTTTGTTTTTATTTTTATTTAAAATGCCAATGCTATCATGCAGTGTTTAGGTCTTTCTAATAAAAGTTATTTAATTGGAATGCCACTTCAGTTTTTAATACACTTGTGACCCAGCTGAAAAAAATCTCCAATTTGTTTTCCAGGGTGGGAAAATACCCATAAGGTGGACAGCCCCAGAAGCCATTGCCTACAGAAAATTCTCCTCGGCAAGTGATGCATGGAGCTACGGCATCGTCATGTGGGAGGTCATGTCCTATGGAGAGAGACCTTACTGGGAAATGTCTAACCAAGATGTAAGTGCCACCCAGAGTTAAACTGCCATCTTGTGAATGCAGACACAATAGCATGCATGGGGAAACATGCTTCACCCTCCCTCAGATTAGCCCTTGTCTTCCTGAGAGTGGTTCAGGGTCTGTGGCTGAACTTAGGAAGCTAAGTAGCCTTTCACTCTGAGGTGTTTGTTGCCATAGGGGCCAGCTGGCGGTGTTTGCCATGTGAGCACCTGACCCATGTCTTCCATCTGATACGTCCACACATATTGTTCTAATGCTTATGCAACGCCTTGATCTACAAGTGACAGAAAACCAAGAATCATGTTTACCCTCATTTCGTCCTTAGGGCAGTATAATGCACTGCTGTAAAGGGCAAATTAATTGAGACTAGATATCACTTAATAGAAAAAGACTGAATGCTTTCAGGCAGTGTATTATCAATATGTCATCTAGCATGCATGACTCTTTACACAATCTGTTTTCTTTTTGCTTTATCTGTAAAAATTACCTTGGTGGTTAGTAATATTATAGAACCAGATAGTTAACACTCATTTGACCTCTGTGGCCTGTCCAAAGTAGTAGAGACAGTCGTCAAAATATGCTAGCATCCTGACAGTGTAAATAAGTGTGCTGTCAGAACTGAAAATACATTTTAATATCACTCCCTCATCTCAGAATTTAGACCTTGTCCCTCACTTGCCTTTCTCAAAGCATCTAATGGTCTCTGAGACAATGGCAGTGGGAAATTAGCTCTAATGGGATTCTGAATGTTCAGAGGTGAAAACAAAGACTGTGTGACTGTACACCCTAAGCAGAGTCAACTCTTATCAGATCTCTTCCCTTTTTTCCATTCGCTTGTTTGAGCCAGCCGTCCACACGTCACCCTTGTTACTCAACCCCAGCCTCAAGTCGTCCAGGTATCTTAAGGTTTTGTTCAGTGACAGAGTTTCTCCTTTCTGAATGCCGGGCACGGAGAAGCCTGGGCTGTGGTTAGCTCACCATGGCTATCAATTCTCTCTGACATGGAGCATTGCTTCCAAGCTGAGTCCTGCTCAGGCTTGTGGGTGCCTGCTTATTCTGTGGAGAACGCCAGGTCCAGAAACTGCACGGCAGCAGATTCAAGGTCATACACACTGCCCAGGCTTGCTCTTTAAAGCACATCATCAAAACACACAGCTGGGTGGCTCAGTCCTGCAGAGCATGTGCCTTTGAGTGCAGAGTGTGCTGTAACCAGCAACCTCTGCTCCACTCCCAGCACTTAGACTTTTTAGATCCAGGCCTTTTGCCTAGAGTTTACTATTCAGGGAATTTTATTTGAAGGACCTCATTGCTCCTTCCTGCCTCTGGGCCTTGTTTGGGGTGACTTGTGACTACCTCTCACACTCGTCTTAAGATTAAATCCCAGAAGCAGAAATGAAATGTGTTCCTTCTCTCCCAGAAAGAACTCACCTTTTTTTTTAACCAGTTATCCAAGGTAATAGAAGCCTGGCTTCAGTCTCCATAGTTCTTGTTCTTCTCTGAACCCACTTTAACGCTTGCCTGCCTGTCTCACTTTGACACGACTGAAATAGGCCATTCAAGCAAATCTCTAGAATAAAAAGTCCTCCTCCAGATGAGTCAAAGTCTTCACTGCACAGAAGAGCCCTCAGTTCAAGTACCCTCCTTAACTAGAACCTCATTTAGTCCTTGTCTTGACCAGTTCCCTGACAGACTTAAAATTAAAAACTGCCTAATTCAGAGGGCTCCAAATTTTACTAATCATATAGCCTTGCAGGAAAAAGTTCTTGAGCCTTCACAGCTAACATGTGTATATTTCTTGGCACACTATGTGCTAGTACTACTGTACTAATATATTTCCTTTTCATTAAAAAATATTTATTGGGGGTCTTCTCTGTTCCAGGAACTAAAGATACAACAGAAAACAAATGTTACACCTAGAAGGGATCATACAGATGATCTAGTCCAACCCACGTTGAACTTGGTTATGAAATTGAGGCACAGAGAAGCACTAAGATATCCCCAGAATCACATAATAAACGCTTTGACAATGATCTTAGAAGTCAGTTGTAAGAACCTTGTAGAAGAAGCCTTGGACAAGGAGAAGACGGAATCACTGCCTCTTGGATGGTAGTTGAGTTTACAGTCCATGGGCCAGCAATTCTAGGGAGAGGGAAACAGACTTTAAACAAAGTAAATAAGTAAAATATATACAGTATATAAAATGATGATCACTGCTTTGGGGGAAAAAGCAAGAAAGGAGGATAAGAAATGCTAGGGGTTTGGGTTTAAATATGCATATTGCCAAATACATTGATGATAGTCATTTTGTCATGGTCATAAAAGTCTAGTTACTCTTATTAGACATGCACAAATAGTCTTCCTAATAGTAGGATGAGACAAATAAACATAAAGAGAAGTTCCATTCTTTTTCCTGCCCCCTGGATTATCATCTTACCACCTGGGGTTACATTGTACCACCAAGCTAGTAACTAAGGCCATCATTAATGTAGACTGAAATTCAACCATGAAAATGCCTCAGTTTCATGACCAATAAATACAATAAAAGGACTTGGTTAAATGATGTTTTAATATTCCTTTTAACAGTAACATGCTATGAACTTATAGTCTCTAGAAAAATAGTTATCATTCTTGCCTCAGCAAGTGAGTGACTCAGATTGTTCTTCTCTGAAGTTGAGGGCTTTTCTGAACCTCTGTGGAGGTGCAAGAATTCAACAGAGCTCCCACGGAGCAGAGCAGGTGCAGGTGAAGGTACCAGGCCACAAGAGAGACTTTCTAGGAGAGCAACCTCTGAGAGAAAAAGCCCAGATGTATAGTTCCCGACATAGACCCCCTGTCCATTGTTCTTAATTGTTGCCTAGAGTCATCCACACCCTGTAGTCACCCCTTCCCTTCCTGGCTCTCGTCCAATTGTTTACCCAGCCATTCTGTCCATGTACATTGATGATCTGCATCCAAAATGATCATTTAGAGAGCCGTTCTGTGTATTAAACCTCCCTTGGCCATAAAGACTTTACCTGGAATCAGAAGTTGCTTGCAGCCAGGAATAGACATCTGAGGTTAAGCCCATTCTCTTTTGTTCAAGATTTTCCAGTGCCCGCAGCACAAGGCTGAATGCTCCCTCCACCCAGAGCTTAGTTGTTTTTCAAGGACCGGTTAAGGGCTAGGCTGGTTATTTTCATGGTCTTTGAGTGGCTACCAAAGAATATGCAAGCAAGAATCTGAAAATTGGAGGAGAACAAAAAGTTGGGGGGGGGGCAGGGGTGAGGGGAAGCCAAACCCTTGAGGTCCTCAGATCAATACAAGAGGAGAGGAAAGCAGTAAGAGCTAAAATCTGTCATGTATCTTGTGAATATTTTTTGCTGCTGCAGTAAAGAGAGTTGGAATTCTGTTTAGCTTAACACATTGGAAGTCAGCATATCTGTGACAGATCCTGTAACCAGAATTTCTGTTTGGAAGCACAAATAGCTTAATCAAAACTTTCCGAGCTGCTTTCTCCAAATACTGGTTATTTTCTATTTGTCCTACATTTCTCATTTGTTCATTCAAAGTACAGTCTTGTGTTTGACTTTTTGCGACCAAAGTGTATTTTCAATAAGGAAAGTAATTTTTAGACAAAATTTCAAGTATGTTCTGTTACTGTTTTATATTTTTATTTCATTTTGGTGAGTTTAATTTATGGATATAGTTAAATATGGAATGTTAACATGCTTTAAGATTTTAAATGAGTTTAGGACATTTCATATAGTGTTTATGAAGTGGTCCCTCCATTCTGCAGACTGTGGCATATTTTATTACAATGAATAATTCTGAGTTTGCAGAATCCATTTTGGTGAATAATATAATGAGTTTCCCAAAGATGAGTGATAATATACATTAGAGAATGAGAAAAAATAGAGTGCAGAGGACTAGTCTATAAAAGGCCATTCAGCAGTTACTGATAACACACGTGCCAGTCACTGGACATGGGGGTGGAGATGGAGAACGAGAAATCCCAGCCCTCACTCTCAAGGAGCCCTCATTGTAGGTGAGGAGGTGAAGTTCTGCCTTTTGTCTAAGTCTTGCCCCTGCCCCCAGGTAGAATGTATCCTCTCATGGGTAGACCTCAGGCCTTCTATCTTTTTCTTTTTCTTATAAAAAACATCATGTGACTGCAACATGGCTGTTTTTAATAGATGCCCCTAAAAGCACGCATACTTTATTATTCAAGATTCCTTTGCTTATGAATGAACGAAACTCAACTGAAACTAACTTAACAACAAATAAATTTTTTTTTGATTCGTGAGAAGGTGGTTAGGCAGTGCCGTATCTGAGGGGTCATGCAGGACTTCAGTGCTTCCCAAGCAGTGGGTCCATTGACCTCATTTTCTGCAGTTGCAGAAGTTTTCTTCTTTGCTTTATTCATCTTTATACTACAGAACTCAGCATTTTGGCTTAGCAATCTCAGTAAAATGGGGCCTTCTCCCTGTGAAAGTTCATACACCCATCCCAGAAAAGACTGACTGGCTCTGTTAGCCAACGCTGAACCAAAATCATGCCTGAAAATGGATACTGTGATTGACAGAGAAAGGTTATGGTACCAGCCTGTGCATTAGGAGGTGGAAGGAGCACTGTGACTGCCAATATCCCCCATAAGCACATAGAGTGAGGGAGAAAGTCCCCAAAGGAAATCAGTTGTGCTGCCAGAGATAAACTGTATTATTCTTTTCTGTACATTGTTTCCAAGAGCAGCTGTATTTATTACAATATCAAATGGCACCAAAATATTAACATTGTTCATCATTATCTTCTCCTGAAGCAGCAAGTGTATTGGAAAGATCCTGAAAGCTTTAAAGAGGGGTTTTGCAACCTCAGAACTATTGTTGAGCCAAATAATTCTTTACTGGGGTGGGGGGAGGCTTGTCCTGTGTGTTGTAGGATGTTTAACACATCCCTGGTCTCTACCCACTAGATGACAGTAGCAGCCTCCCAGTCATGACAACCAAAACTGTTCCCCAGTCAGA